AATTCAATTCAAATTGATAAATTCACAGGAACAAAAAAAAAATTTAATCAGTAAATTCTAAAGAGTAAGAGCTTTTTCTTGAAATTTTCATTCAACTTTTCGAATCAATCCAAATGAATTAATGTCTAATCCATAATTTATTTGAGCTGTCCTCAATCAATCTAATGTATTTTCTACAATTTTCTCTTATAATGTGTTTTCTGTTCATCTACTTCTGATGGGCAATAATGCAAATTGTCAAAATATTCAATTAAATAATACGAACAATGTCTTTTTATGTCTTTCTGTGTTCAAAGTAATTTTAAGTACTTATTTTACAATTACTTGTGTTGATTAGCTTTCGCTTTGTCACTGGCTTATGCCTAAAACCATCAGTCAATGTGTGAATTTATCGCCGATTTCTATCGTGTGGTTTTTCAGCATCATGTTTCCGTTGCAAGTGTAGATTCAAATCGTGTTTGGATTCGAAAGCCGCAGGACAAATGGTACATTTAAATTTCTTCGTGTCTTCTCTGTGCCGTCGTTCGTGAGTTCGGCAATGGTCTCTCCGTTTGAATTTTTTATCGCAGAAAGCACACCCGAATTCTGGCTCGGTTTGAGTCTGTGGAGAAGAAAAATTAAATTAATAATTTCACATCGAGAAAAATAATTATACAGAAAACAGCGATTCATCGACTTGATAAGACAGAAAATTACAATTTATGACAGAAAGTTCCTTAGCTGTTGACTTCGAGTCGAATGAAAATAAACACACCGAAAAAGGTAAGAAAAATCATGAGATCTTACATGAGTGAGCATATGCTCTTTTAAAGAACGCTTGAACTTAAACGTTTTATCGCAGTGTGGACATTCTTCTGGTCGATCTTCATTGTGTGATTTCCGATGCTTGCTGAGGGCTGATGCAAACACAAACGTTTTGCCACACAAATCACAGAGTTGATTGGCGGCAGTATGCTGAAAGAAAGACGAATTTTTTCTCATCAAAAAGATTTGATTTCTTGACACGAATCACAATGCCATGAGACTTATGTATGGATTTCTGAGGTACAAAAACAAGTGAATGATTCATAATTGACACCAAATCTAGTTTCAATCCCGAAGTCATCGCTAATTCAATATCCTAATTCATTTTATGGGAAAAAATCACCCAAAACTAAAACACCATTTTGGACTCTGGATTTTGGACACATATCCCATACTTACATGCTTCTGAACGTGATACCTCAAGTCGAAATTCTCCGATCCACCCTCATCACAAATGACACATTGTTTTGCTGTTCCTTTTATGTGCTTTTTGACATGGTTCTTGAATTCATCCTTATCCGAATCACACATTTGATAGAGACATACATGGCATGTGATCACACCAGTTGATTTTGTGTGTATTTTCACGTGGTTCTATTGATTTTGGGAAGAAGAAAAAGTGTAATAAGTGCATCAAAAAATGAGTTGAGACTTCAAATGACTTCAGCTGTTTAAAAACCTACCTCAAAAGCGGTACCAGAATTTGTAAATTTCTCCCCACAATATTCGCACACTTTAATACCTGTAGAAGAAAGAAAATCACAAAAGAAAAAAATCAAAATTAATGAGAAATAGTGACAATGTGATGGAATCAATGAATGGGGGAATAAGGAGTGAAATTGAATACCGATTTTCGATTTCGTTTTTGGAGTTAGTAAAAGTTTCGAGCCAGAAGGTGGTACACCGTCAGGTGCTATTCGCTTGATCACGGCAGTTGTGGGTTTGGCCGGTGATGGAGTTGTTGATGCTGGAACTGTTGGTTTCGATTTGAGAAATGGGACACGTTTTACAACTCGTATGATGATTGGTTTGCTCCTCTTTGCATTTTCCACTGGAGTGCCGGTTTGAAGTAATTCGGTGCCTGATATAGTTGGCTTAACATCTTTGCTACTCTCATCTTTGAATTTACGTCCATTCGCAATCTTTGCTTTCGATTCAACTAAATCCTCTGTTTTGATCCGACTGCTGATAAAATTCTTTTCCGTCGACATAAGTAACATATGGAATTCCCTTTCCTGCTCTTTCACCTTCAAACACATCCAATCGTACGAGTAAATTCGACTCAAACAATCCGAACAAATGCAATTGGTCACATCATTTATATCTCGCAGAGAGATATAATCCTTGAGGAATCCAGTGATGAACACAGTAATCGGCGTGCCAGAGTGCTTGGACTTTGTTTCAGCAAGATTTTCCGTCCATTCTTTTGTTCGTTTATTACAAACATAACAAATCACCTCCATTACGGGATCAGTTTGATTTTTTTTCGTTTATTCACACAATAAATCAGAGATGTTTCGCTTTTGTTTAACACAAATTTTGTTTATTTTCTTTTTTCTAGAGCATCAGTGGAAAAAGTGACAGTTGGTTTGTCGAATGTTTGACAGCTGACCCATTGTCAGATGTTTTGTCTATTGAGTGTCAATTGAGTATGAGTAACAAATAGTTTTGGCGCCAAATAAAAAAAAATGATTTTGTTCGGTGAACAGAAATGTTGGGTTTTTTCTCGAAAATGACTTTGAAAGCAAATTTTTCAACTCGCTTGTTGATGCTTTATACGAAAAAGTGTACTTGTGTATGGATGTCAAGTGTCATGTTCAAGTCATAATGGCAATTGTTTCCATTCGGTTTTTCTCTTTAAATTGAATTACAGAGTTTCCTACAAATAATTGAGACTCACACATGCATATAAGATAAATTTAAAGCAACTCAACGCCTCTCACTCTTGTTTATCTACAATTGTTGTTGTTTCACGTACGCTTGTAATTTCGAACGCATTCGACAAATCGAATAATTAGCATTAATGTTTGTTTATTATTAGATAACGACGTGTGCGTCATCCGTCATAAAAATGCACCAGCTTCGGCTTTGACATCGAGAGAGAGAGAGAGAGAGAGAGAGAGAGAGAGAGAGAGAGAGAGAATGTGACAGAAAGAGATATAATGATAAAATCGTATTGAAAACTTTCCAAATGAGTTACACAAGTTAGTCGATGTTCAGTTGTCGCTGGTTCCACATAAATACTTTAGGTGATTTTGACGCTCAAAGTTATAATGTCCGACAATTCAGCCGCAAATTCGCTGCCAGAATGGCTGACCGATGCATTTATGGAGGGTCATTTGAGAAATTATTACAAAAACAATGACATTAAATTAATCCGATTCGATGTGAAATCCGGTGCGGGAAAAGACGAAGGCTTCATGAGTTCAATGCTTCGAACCACGGTCAAGTACAGCGTTCCGGGCGAAGATGATGACAAAGTAAGTATTTTGTGGAAATTTTAAATGGTCATGTCAAAACACCTTTTCAAGCATGTCCGCGAGTGCCTCGAGCCAACTTCCCCACTTTTTTCGAATCACAGTAGAAAAATCCGAACAATTTTCTTTGGAAATTGGTTTTTTTTAAAATAATTTTACATTCAGAATTGGGTAATAAACATTTTGGTGTTTTTTCATCTTTTAAGACCATCAACCTAATAATAAAAGTGCCCGTTTCCGAAGAGACAGTGGATACATTTGCCAATTACGATGTGTACAATCGGGAAATTGAATTTTATGGTGACATCGCGCCAAAAATTGGTCAAAAGTTGAAGGAATTGGGTGAAGTTCAGCTGTTGCCTGAATCGATTGGCGTGTGTAAAACCAGAAAAATCATGATAATGGAAGATTTAGGAGCCAAAGGCTATGGAGTATTGCCAGCACAACCGGGATACAATATCGCTCAAACAAAAGCAATTCTGAAGCGGATGGCTACACTTCACGCCATTAGCGCCGTTTTGCAAGAAGAAAATCCGAATATTTTTACGAATTTCAAAAGTGGTTCGTTTGCCATTCGAAATATCATATTTTGTTTCTTTTCGTTCGCCTAATTTTTCCTCAATCCTTTTCTTTGCTCAGAGAAAAAGCTAATACAGTACTAACAAATTCCAAATATTCCAGGTCACTTCAGTCGCGATGTTGACGTATATAACCACATGTATGCGGGAAATTTCGATGCGCTTCTTGAAACGATTTCAACTTGGCCCGAGTTTTCTATGTACACTGAAAAATTGCGCCGTACCCGAGAGGATGTGGTTGAACGATGGCGTCGCATCTACGACGTCAATCCGAATCATTTCAATACATTGATCCATGATGATTTCTGGCCACCAAACATAATGCTCAAGATTAACAATCCAACCGAGGAGCAACCGTTGGAAAATGTTGTTTTCATCGATTTTCAAATGACTTTTTGGTCGTCGCCAACAATTGATTTGTATTTCTTCTTAAACACATCTGTTTGCGAATCTTTTCGCCCACATCGCTTCGACGAACTGGTTGAATATTATCATCAATATTTAGTTCAATTTTTGCAGCGATTGGGCTATAAAAAACACATTCCAACGTGGCCCGAGTTTCAAGAGCAATACCAAGAAAGGAAGCTAATGGGTGGGTTTATGTTTGAGTGGACAATGTCCACTGGACATTCTTTTAAGGTTGAGCCAAAAACTTTTTTTCAAGCACTAAGCCTGAATAATATTTTGTTCAAGTGTGAATAATAATTTGGATCGGGCTTCAATTTGAATTATAATTCAAATGGAGTTATAACTCCACCAAGATAATAAAAAATATCAACCAAATAAATTTAAACGCGATTAAACCGAAAATTTTCATTCCAGCATTCATTACGTCGTGCTTGGAACAACCGATCACAATCGATAACAATGGTGAACTTGGAGTTGATGTACTCCTTAAAAATGATGAAACTGCCAAAAATGCCAAACGAACATTGTATCAAAAAGAGAAAGTGCAGCTAATTTTACGGAAAATGATCCCATACTATGACCAAATCGGCACATTCGATTAAATTTATTGAATTTTTTCAGAATTGCTCTGTTTATCCTAGAGAACTTCAATAAATGGCTTGAAATGAAGTAGTTTGATTGCATCGATGAATCGTTGATTTGATGAGTGATATGATAAGAAATGAGCAGATGACAGTTGTTATCGTTAACATTTTATAGATATTGTAAGTATGACAGAAGCAGAAAACCCACTGTTCAGTGTACAATGCAGTGCTGCTAGCAAGATGCACACAGGAAATAGTTGAGATTATTTGAAGAGATTTGCGAGACGATATCAGGCCAAACGATTTGTTCAATTAAATTTTATAGTAATTACTCCAATCGAATTACCACAGGTGCATTTCTGGTTCTCACACAATGTGCATAATGTGAGAATAAAGTATTCCGATATGATTGTGCCCACACAGTTAAAGCCTAGGGGCTTTTTACTCTTTTTCATATATGTGATTTGTACGGATAAACGCGCATAGATTGTGTGCCACAGTGAAGTGTGTCGAATTTTGCACATAGTCAGGAATATTACGCATAGAAGCGAATACGCGTGCACATAATGATGCCACGATGCGATTTAAGACGCATCAACACAATGTCAACATTCTGTTGTATCGTTAAGTTTCGTTCAAACAATATTTGACATCAACAATTTCTGTCTTTAATATTTATCAAATCTCTTGCTAATGAGATTGTTCTTAATTGATGAAAATTGAATTTAAATATAACACAAAATTAAAATATAATAGCAAAGAATAAGAATGAAAACGAAAATCAAAATGTTATATTATACAAATATTGAAGTAAAATCGCCGATAGTTTTGGTAGATATAAAAATCGTTGAAAAAATAAGTGCGACGATTCATTATACTTGGAAATAGCATCTGGATTATAAATAATAAAAAAATCCATATGTACAAATGATTGAAGTTAACAAAGATGATCAGCAAAAAATGTGAGCCGAAATAAGTACAAATCAAACACTTGCAGTCAAGTATTTCTTGAATTTTTACATGAAAAAAGTCGTTGCACTTTGAATTCAAAATAGTCGATATTGTGGCGTGTGACCAATCAGAGAAGGAAACATTTTAGTAGGATTCATGCGAAATTATTCGCAGTATGAATGGTCTATGTGCAGTATTCGGACATCGAATGTGTGCACTTCTAACGAATAGGCACCGCATAATACGCATAGTAAGAAGAAATCGCCACATACTATGAGTTGAAGCGCATATTCTTCGCATAAAACGAATTTTTTTCGAGTTAAATGCCCCTAGGTTAAAGCTCATTCCATTGAGTTGACTGTGATAACCCAGGAAAACCTTTGAAAAAGAGATTTTTTGTGCAAATATAAAACTAGTTGAATATTTCAAATGCAAATATCATCCACGGATGTTCTATGGAATTGAACGGATCACCGCCAACGAATTGTTGGTTCGGCAGTTGTGAATATGATGCAGAAGCTGTTGGATCCGCTCTTCCAACTACTCTTAGATCTTGGCTGATTAACTCGGTGGTGTTTTGTTTGCCTGAGCCAAAGTTTGCAATTAAAGCAGATCGAATTGTGTTTTCTAAATATGTTCAATATCATTTTCACTAGTATTCGCTAACCATTTTGAATTGCTGTAAAGAGTTGCCTGTTTTCATTGCTGTCTGTATTACAGCTTGAATATTTTCAATAGTATGGTTGGGCATTTGGACACTTTCTTCTGAAAACTTCCTCGAAACTGAAAGCAGAATTGTATTTATTTTGGAGCCAATAAATCTAACTGGCTCAGGAATTATATCTATACCAACTATATCAGCCAAAATAACACCTAATAGCATCACCATTACAAATGATTGCATTTTGATCTATATGAAAAATCGTATGTGAATAGAAAAAATGAACAAGAATAAATTACAATTTGATCCCTCTTCTAAAACACAAAACTAATACTAAACTTATTAGCTGCGCGATCAGCTGCAAAAGCTACAAAGGCCTTACGAATCGATGAGATGTTGCTATCATTCTAGGAAAAGTGGCACTGTGCCGGTATTCTAAGTCATTCCACCAAAATCGTTCGGAAATATTTTTTTCGTACGTAAGACGATATTGGAGTGAAAGAGAGAGAGAGAGATTCCACAAATTTTCAACATCACATCGGAATTATCCCGATAACTCAAAGGGTGGTGATAGTTATCGCAATAATTTCGATGTGATGTTGAAAATTAGTGGAATACATATTTTTAAGTCATTCGTTTGTGAATGCGACGACAGGGATAACTAGCGAAATACAGATATAGGTAGACACAATTGAAATTTTTCCGGAAAATAGGTAGATAGATACGCTTTCAATTAAGTAATAAAAGATTTTCGTTGAATTTCATTTCGAACAGCACATCAGTGAGAAATATTGAAAACGATTCGTTGTTTTCCTCATTGATTGAACAAATTTTTCTGAAAAATTATAATCAATTCAGTATTGTTTTTTTTCTCCCAGAAAAATAATCTAGCACCATCAAAACACATTGAAATTAAGCAATTTAACAATTGTTACTCAAACAAACAACTGCATTCAAACAATGTTATTATGCAAATGAACAATCTCTCTCTTCTAAGTATTTATCACGTCACCGTCAAACGAAGCTATCTTGTGAGATAAAGGTATGAATCAGTGCTGAGTTAACCAAATTTGGTGCCCGAGGCAAAAATGATTTTGGTGCCCCTTGCAATTTTTTCCCGTTATATATACAAATAATTATTGATAAAATGAACGTACATATCGAATGCGAGCGGTAGCGAAATGTTTTAGAAATACCATTTTTGGGGCACCAAAAACATTTTTGGGCCCATTTTTGGCTGCGTGTTTTCTTTTTCAGATTATTAAAAAAAAAATTCCAATGCTTGTGGTGCCCCCAAGAACGTGGTGCCCGAGGCAACTGCCTCATTTGCCATATGGCTAACTCGGCACTGGTATGAATAGTCAACGCGGCTGCATGTTTCATTTAAAAATGCAATTTATTGTGTTTCTCTATGTGAATATAATAAGTTTCCGTTAAATGGTAATCATAAATTAATCAAATTCTCGATTATAGAAACTGTAAACTGATTTTTCAAGCGGATTTTAGTGCAAAATACAAAAAATTAGTAAAAAAAAACAGAATTTATAATCGTGATCATATAAAGTGTCTACAGAAAAAAAGAATAGAAAACTGACTTCATCGAATCGTCTGTGCAAAACGTACAACTGATGCACGCAAAAGAGTATTCAAACCATAATTATAGCAACAATAATCTGGATCTTTTCTGCGTACAATGGTTTTTCGTTTCCTCTTTACACAGACGATTTGAAAAAAAGTGTGTTTTTGATTCTCATCATTTATTATCCAAATATCGTTGACGTTGCATGCTTAAATGAGTTTCTTCAAAAGGATAGATCTTCAATCATTTTAAATTAGCGAAGCCCAGACGTTTGTTATCCTTGTCGTAAATGACTGTCAATTTTCGGAGGAATGGGTCACCCAAGAGATAATCGGCTTTCTGGTATTTGGTATTCATTTTGGAAAAACCAGTGTAGCAAATCTGGGGCTGAAAAAAAAATGAATGCACAAAAAATGGTTAAAACAATTAAATAAATATCATATCAATAATAACAGTTAAATAAATAAATAACATAGCGAAAAACTAACCGACACTGTCAACATATAGTCTTTAGGCGTCAACGTGACTGTCACCTCACCAAATTGAAAGTCAACATTGGGCAAACTTGCGATGTCGCATGGAGTAATTATATAATAATTTGATTGTTTATCGAAATGGGCTCCAATTTGTTTGGTAATAAGTTCAATTTCATCTGGTGGACCACCAATGGGTCCCATTCCAGTATCAAATAATGCCTCACAACCATTTTCACACAAAGTGAGCTTATTACCACCGTCAGTTGCTGGGCCAACTTCTAATTTGGTCATCTTAATTTGCCAGAACCCGTCCACTGAAAGCGGTCTCCAATAATCTGCCTCAACGTCACATCCACCAATTGACAACTCACCACCAGGTGGAATGGCATCCTGTGTGGCTTGAGTTTGGTCAGTGAATTTGATGCAGAAAAGTCGTTTGCTTATTTGTTTTTGTTCATATAAATTGTCAAGTGGAGTTGAATTCTGATCAGTGGCTGATATAATACTCCAACCAAAACCGAAAGTACCATCGAATGGATAATTATAGGAATCAGTTGGTTCAGATAAAGCTTCTCCAATTATTTGATCGTTGATTGTTAAACCGCCCAACTATTGAGGTTGAGGAAGAACAAAAAATGAATAATTAGTTTTCGAACGAAACGAAATAAACGGGAAAAATGAACTCAAGTTACCGAAACAACTTCCGTTGCTCTAAGTCCGGTTAATCCACCCACGGCGTAGCCCAAGTTAAATGTTGGACTGCCAGCAGCTTGCTTATGGGTCGATGATGCTGTTGCGTTGTATTTATTTATCGATTCTGTCGAAAGAGTATCAATTTTTAACCATTTTTTCATCATTTCTTTCATTTTTTTAGATAATTCGCCTAATGGTGAACAGTGTTCACTGAACACTTACTACATAGAGGTGGAGTTTCACAATTCACTGACGGTACCCATATGTCAGAAGAGCCGGTATCGAGATTCATAACAAATTTTTGTGGCGGAGTACCAACGGTAATTGGAAAGCCATAGTGAAGCTAAAATCAAAATCATTTCAAATCATTCAATTAATTGAAACGAACATTTCACCGCGAATTCTTGAAAAAAAAGAAGAAATATTGTTTGTAAATTTGGTGGTTACTAAACGCACATTATTTGGATTCCACAGATCAATTTTATTCCCATTTGATGTTGGTGTTGCACGTCTTGTTCGCGAATGTTTGATGGACACAAGAGGTATTCTACGGAAGAAAGAATTTAAATACCAAAATCAATTAAATTCCAATCAAAAATGTATTAAAATCAAAATCTAGGTGCGTTTAGATCACCTCATGAAATTATTTTCAGATGATACCCCAACATCGCTACTAAACACGCAAATGAAAACTTGGAAAATGATCAGAAAGTTGAACATTCTCAACAAAAAGCTCAACAATTCTAAATAACAAAACTTTAACACCTTTTAAACGAAACTATTGTTATTTGCACAACTGGATCCGCCAATTGTAAGTCAAGAACTGAAAATGAATCAATTCGAAACCTGAACTTATATACCAGGTTAACGTGATTGATCATTTGTATTCCACAAAAACTTCAAACACGCAATTGTTATCAATTATGAATTTATTCAATAATTTCTAGCGGATTTATCTATTCAAATTGCGTTCTGCATCGGCTGATATTGGGAATAAGCAAACTATGATCTCAGAATTCATTTGAAACTTGTTGGAATGAACATTCATCACATTTATGCTAAAAATATGCCGGAAAAATAAATATCTTTCTATTTTTCGCTTTGAATAATTGCATAATTTGTTTGTTAAAAGGTTCAGGTCGATTTAAGAACATTTAGAAAAACCGGAGACCATATTTTCGAAGAAAAAGCTTTTCTTATCTGAAGAAAAACAATTTAAAATTCACATTAAACATCAATATTTTAGTTATAATTATCAATTTAGGTATAAAATGAAGTAATGATTTCAACGTTACCATTGAAATAAATGGTCAACCGCAGCGATTGATTATTTCAGCGTACCTTACAAACCTTGACTCAGTCATCACCATCGGTTCCATCGTCGGCCTATTTTCCGGTGAATCGCTTCTTTCAACTTCTTTTTTTTATCGTCCTGAAGTATTTTCATAGCTTAAATGACACCCTCAATGTGATAAGATCGCCAAAGTCTGAATGGAAACCTGTTCAAGATATGATCCATTTTACTATAGACTTTGATGTTGTAGTCACGAGTGATCGAACTAAAATGTTTGGCATTGAAAGCTGCAAGTGTAGATTCGATTCAGAGACTACTTCAGACCGAAGCTTTCCATTGAGGCAGTATACGCAAAATCTGTGTTTGATGGAGTGCAGCGTTGATGCAGCCATCAATCTTTGCGGATGTCCACCATTCTTCTACAAAATCGGTGAGTACTCTTGTCTTAATTACTTCATCAAATCCTACGATAGTGGTTTATTGCAGGTCCTGCGCCAATTTGCAACGTCACTGGAATGTAAGAATAATCATCACAATTATTAACCAAATCAAGATTTAACAGGTTTTTACGTTATCATAGGATTTGTTTATCAAAAAATCGATGGAAAGAGACTCGTAACAACTGTACCTGTTTGCCACAATGCAATTCAATCGATTATAAATTCACACGGGCTTCTTATCCGTCTGACAAGACTAAAACGAGATATCAAATTCAATATTCATTACTTGGTTGGTGCGTTTTGATTCACTTAAATGACTACATTTTTACTTTTTATCCATTTCTGAATCATCCTTTTTATATCCAAATATTTGTCTCTTTTCGCCCAATAAAAGTATCAGTCGGTGGAGCTGCGACACTATTTCTCGGATGCAGTTTCATAAGTATAGTTGAACCCATTTATTTTACCACGAAACATTTCCATCGAAACAAATTCACGAACTTAAGTCAAGAGAAAAATGCTAGCAGTCCTACTCCATGTAATACGATGGTCAGTAAATTCGCACGTCGATTCAATTACTTTGTGAAGAATTGTGGCTTGCATGGCATCCGATATTAGAGAAAACGTTGTGCTTTTATTTTGGAATATTATACTCGATGTGGTATTCGCAAGAAGTAACATGATTTTACATGATTTTGTAACTCAAGCCTATTTTGGATATGCATTCTGATTGCTTCGGTTATTGCAATGAGTACACATTATATGACTACTTGGACAGTCCGGTTGTTGTCAAGGTTGACACGATTATTCCAAGCAAAGACAGTGCATTTCCAGCTGTGTCCGCTTGTATTCTGAAATATGACGATAATAATGCAAGCACCGAGAGAGTCAAACAGATCAAATGATTTTCCCAAAGCAATTAGTTGGGTATATAAATTGGGAATAATGGGTTTTCAACGCAATTAAAACCAACAGTAGAGAGAGAAAATAAAACATTTCTTGTGAGGTTTCCATCGCTTTATTTCGAATTTGAATTGTTTTCATTTGCTGAACATTCAATGCTCAATGTTAACTGTATTCATAAATGGGTTTTACAGAATATAAATCAATATCTTCAATAATTTTTGTTTTTTATCCATTTTGTTGATGTCTTACAAGTTCATATGTCTATGTTTATGCTTGTGTGAATGTTTTTTTCTCATCGCTAATTCTAATGTGAAAAAATCAACATTTAATTTGGTCAACGCCTTCGAACGCAATTCGGATCTGTTTCTTTTGATTCGAAATTCTTTTTCTCACAAATCACAAATGATATAACTGAAAGTTTCCGATTTTTCTTCCACAAATGTGTAATTGGTTTCAATCCAATTTGAAAATTTTCTATTAAATATTCTGAGAGTTTTTATCAAAACAAAATTAGATCCATGTTTCTTCCTTATAATAAATTCGTCTTCAAAATATTTGCATTTTCTTTCTGTCGACAATAATATTTGATCAAAATATAAATAACTGAATGTTCAATTGCGATTCAAAGTGAATCGATTCCTTCTGGTTAGTTTACATGATTCTTCTATGTCTGTTTAAATGAACTACCACTCTTGTGGTATAGAAAAAAATTCATTGAAAAATAATAATTGTCGCTTTCACGGATTTTCTTCTTGAAATCAGTTGGCCATCGTTATTTTCATATCATATTCGCAGCCATTCAAACGTATTTATACCTTACATGGGTATAAAATGTTTGGTTCTGTGTCAATATCGATGTGGAACTTACATTTGCGATGGTGAATGAAGGCAAATGCAGTTTGCTTTTGTAGCGTAGTCAGCGACGGTTTTCTTCAAGCTGCTCACCTTTTGCGCGTCCATGTAAATGCAGAGTGCCGGCGATTTGCGATACCAGCGACTGCGATCGCGAACGAGTGTGTTGTACAATTTTCGGGTGAATGACGCTTCGATCGGAACGTCCAGCTTCAGCGTATGTATTTGTGGTGACATCGACACAATATCCTCGATGTGCTTCTGTCGGAATGCGCGGGTTCCCTTGAAACCAACTTCTCGAACGTCGGGCAAATTGGCCACGAAATCAATATACGTACCCCAGTCAAAACAATATTGTGTCGATTGAATCTTGATGATTTCTAGTTTCGTGAAGCATTGCATAGCATTTTTCCAGGCTGCGTTTTTCTCTTCGCCGTTGCGGCTAAAGCGACGTTGGTAATAGTGGCGACTTCGGAAGCTCCAGTGAGCCCAGCGATCATGAATATCGATGTGTAGTTCCTGAAGGTACGGCATTTGTGACAGTGCCACCGGAACATCGTAGTCATACCACGAACATTTCAGGCGTAGAACTTTTAAAGGATTATGCTGCAACTTGGCAAACGTGATGAACTTTTCCATTGAAACGAACGCTGTATCGAAACACAATTCTTCGAGGTTGCGAAAAGCCGTGCTGATATGAGCGAATGCTTCCTCGAGCATATCTAGTCCAGCAATGACGAAGTTGTTCCAATTGAACGACTTCAACGACGGAATTCCCTTTTGCACCATTTCGAGCCAGAATTTAGATTCAGTGAGACGGCAGCTCTCAATCGTTAACTCCTGGATCTTGATGGCCTCCAATGCTGACAGAAATTTGCCATTTGATTTGATTTGATTCAGCGTCAATGATTTCATCCCAGTGCAACCGGCCAGCAATGATTTGAGGCAATGATCAAACTCAGCGGATTGGCGTTTGCAGTGCATTATTGTCAGCGATTCGAGTGTCTTGAAGCATTCGGAGATATCTGTGCGGAATTCACATGATTTCTTGTCTTTGATGTCAAATGTAATGGACAGTTTCTTGAGATTTCCGTCCGAACAGCGTTTTCCAATGAGTCGAAAAATCTCCTCGATCTCGCTCAATTTGTCGTCTTTCCATTGAATGTCACTTAGACTCATCACGACCTCCGGTGCAAATCGGCCGAAATGCTTAAACGCATGTCGAACCGAGTAGTGTTTGCTGATTTCTCCGATATTGAGCACTCGCGATGGCATGATCTTTTCGGCGATAACCTGTTCGATGCGTGGGTCTTCATCGGCCATTTGCAACAAGTCGTACAAGTTCAATTGATCTGCGTATCAAACAGAGAGAAAAGTAGAAAATAAGAGATAAAGGTGGACAGTTATTCGGTGCTGTTCCCTGATAAAATGCGTTAAACTCACCGAAAATCTTCACCAACGTCTTATCGTCCAACCAGTCGAAGTACATTTTCGGTTTTTTCGCCGCCTCAGCTGGTTCGGTATCAGCTTCACCTTGTTCGATGAACGGTTCGGTATCAGCTTCAATTTGCTCGTTCAACGGTTCAGTATCAGCTTCGTCAACATCAGCTATTTCGTTCTGTTCCTCTTCGATCATTTCACGTTTAACGGTACCGACCGACACAACCCATTCGGTGTCTGCTTCGTCATAATTGTGTGTGTCGTTTTTTTCGTCTAGAAATAATTTACGTTTAACGGTACCGACCGACACAGCAACACTTTCGGTATCAGAACTTTGTGTGTCACTCTCTGCAACTGCAGCAATTGCTGGCTCATATACATTGCCAGTTGATGACTGGCCTTGATCTTCGTCGCCAACTGTTGACAGATCTTGAGTCAATCGCTAAAAAAAATCCCACCAAAAAATATTGAGGTTAGAAATCACTTTAAATGGTTTTTGTGCCATGCAAAATCGATGACAATTGAATTAATTCTCTTTCTTTAACTTACGCGTCGTTTGGCTGGCGGTGCTTCGTTTTGGTCAATATCTTCCGCGTCATCCAACTTTTGAAATAGACAAGATGTAAAAATTAATGCGTGTCATTGAATAGCATTCACAAAGGAAGCCCTTTTCTAGTACTTACATGCGGTCGGAACGCTGCACGGCTGGTGTCCACCAGATTTTGCGCCAAACCTTGCAACGCATTACCAAACTATGGAAAAAGGAACAAAAAAACAATTCAATTGGCAACAATATGGACCGAAAAGTGCTCATGCTCAATGCCTTTCAGAATGAAATTAATTCAATTGTTATAAACATTCGACTTACGCCTCGAAACCATGAACCGCTTGCTTGAACTTCTTTGGCATCAGATGTTTTATCCATGACAGCAATTGTATTTTGTCCTTCAAAGCCGCAAACAATCGAACACAAAGCCAAATGTATTTATCTTCCAACTATTTTTTGATTCAATTCCTAATTTTGACTTTTTTCGTGTGCAAAACAACTGAACGTCTGACAATGTTCTGCAACTGGTTTGTCGATGCAAAAAAACACGTGTGCTATGTTATAGTGTGTTGCTTCAAATGGCGCGATACTTTGTGCGACGCAAACCCCTCACAAATTTGTGTGCATTAGTTTTTACGGTGAATTGCCAATGTCTAGTCTCAGTTGTGTTTGTCAGAGCGACAGAAAAGAGCGGTAAACAGCATTTTTGTTGGTGTGTGGTGTGTGCTGTGTTCGTTCATACAAACACACAGATTGATTTCGTGTCAAGCGATGTGCGGCTGAACCGAAGAACTCAAGTATGTTGACGCCATCTTTTGGACAGTTGTGCACTTATTTCGATCAGAGCTCAACTCGATGAAGAAAACGAATCCAATTCAATTCTTTTCAATGTTTATTCGTCACAAATTGAGATTCTCAATTTTCATTCGGGTTGATTTACCCAAAAAAAAGGTGGAAACAATATCATAGACAAACAAAAGACTAATTTCATACTATTTTTCCAGAAAATGTTTTAAAACTCTTCTTCTAAATATTTTCAGTTTTTATTTTTACAAATTTTATTCATCTTCATTCTTGCGTATTCGATTCTGTAATGTCTAATTGTCCGCTTGGCACTTCAGCGCTGTGTTTTCGTTTGATGTGCTCTTTCAAGTGAAACTTATGCTCGTAGGCCGCCGGACAAAGGGAACATTTTACCGTTTTTGTGTCTTCCTTATGCCGCTTTTCATGGGCTCTGTTTGCAAAATTGTGAAAGAAAATCATTCGTTTAGAATTTCAAATCGAGTTAAGGCTTTGAATAAGACAAAAACCACTTACGTCAAGTATTTCTGGTGTTTAAATTTCACATTACAAATCGAACATGACAACGACCGACCGATAACCGTCTAAATTCAGGAAAATGAATAATGAAAAGATATTTCAATTGTGTTACTTAAAATTATGTCGTTCTTCGATAAAATCGTTGAATCTTACGTGGGTTTCCATGTGTCTTTCCAAATAAATTTTGTGGGTGAAGGTCTTTGGACATTTGGTGCACTTTTTCGGTCGTCCTTCAATGTGAACAGCAGCTTTATGAAATAGTAAGCTTGAGTTGTAGCTGAATTTTTTTCAACATACATCGCATAGATGCTCTGAGTTTTTGTTGTGCTAAAATTCGAAAGAAAAGATGAATTCAATCCACGAAGTTACATAAATATTAATATCGCATGGAACATTTAATCTGTTAACCAATCAATCGATCCACTCACTTGAACTTCAACGTGTTTCCTTAAAGATCGTTTATCACAGTAAACTCCTTCGCAAAGAACACATGCTAATGGGTCTTTATCTTTGTGCAATTCCAAGTGTTCCTTGTATGAAGTCTTGTCCTCTACCTCATGATAACAGAATCGACAGATAAATCCCGGATTTGATTCGTGCCATTTCATATGGATCTTTGAAATGAACGAAATTGAAACACAATGAATATTGAAAATTATTGGATAATTGACAATGAATATCTTTTTAAATGTGGAAAATTACTCGCTGTTGTTTTGCTCGAACAAATTTCATGTCACACATTTGACACGCAGTTTTGTGATTTTTCATGTGTGCAAAATAGCCTTTTTTGGAGTATTTAGTTCCATCGTCGCATATCTTACACTCACGTGTGAATGTTTTTAATGGCACCGTACGACGGACCATACTAGACTCAAGCTCTGCAATTTGTTTTTGAATTTCGGCTTGAGTTGGCATTGGTTTTGGTATTGGATTTGGCGCGTAATATTGCCTTTGAATTGACATTTGCATCGGAGTTTGAGTTATTGCTTGAGCCGACATTCGAGTCGGGACATTAATCGATAATTGAGTAGGCACATTGATGGGTAATGTAATTGGCGTCTGATTTTGTGCACTACTTGGCACTACGATTTTTGGCTGTGGTATTATTCGTCGAATAATTGGTTTTGTCAACGTTTCAGTCACGATCGATTTTTCCGGCTGTTTCGGTGTCTGACTCGAGACTACTATTTCGGATGGAATTGGTTTCGCAAACGTTGGAACGTTTTTTCTTGTCTCTATTGGTGCCTGTGCCAGTGTTTGGTTTCCTTCCAGTTTAATGGTAACTATTTTCCCATCTTTAGTTTTCAACAGATTGTCAATCGATGGCCCGCCATTGCTGCATTTTTTCACGAGCCGTACTTTCACTAATTTCCCATCTTTTTGAATGAATATCGTTTTGTCTGTGGACAGATGCTTCGGTTGTCCTATCACTTTATCCGCTTTTTCCTGTGTTTCTGCTGTCGGAGTTGTAATTTTATGTGTGTTCAACTCTTCGTCCATCAAAAAATCATCTTCGTCCATCTGTTCTGTCGGCTCCGTCTTAATGTCGATTTCTTCACCCACAAAATTATGATTTTCTTCTACAAATATCGATTCGGTGTGACACACATCAACATCTTTCTCGACTTTTATCTCAACTCTTCTCTTACTCCAGATCTTCTCAGTTGCCCAAAGCAGTTCAATTAGTTTCTTCTCTTGTTTTTCCGCTTCTACACATGCCCAATCATAGACGAACACTTTCTGCAAGCAATCGCCACAAATGCAATTCGATTCGTCCTCTACATCTCGAGTTGTAGCAAAATCCCTCGTGAGCTGTTTGATGAAGTCACAAACCTGTTTTCCAGAATGGTTTGACTTGATCTCAGTCAAATTCTGTTGGTAAATTGTAGAACATTTGTTGCAAACATAGCACGCTACCTCCATTACTATGGAAATGCCGAATCAGTCTTGACTGTCTCCAGTCTGTTCAATGTTTATCAATTTAATCGGAGTGTCCAACAACCTATTTTGAATTGTTTACTAATTTATTTCACGGTTTTTACCTTTTCAGGTTTATTCTGAAGCAGCAGCCAGGAAAAATATTTGTTTATGCTGTGACATTAGTGTCAGTATGTTGAAACTGTCACTTTTCGTGTCTATAATGTGACAGCTCAAAAATGAAAACATTTGACAAGGCATAGAGGTTTGCACATTGCTGGTGTAAATACTAAATGGAATTAGAAACAACATTTTCATTGACATGTTAATGAAAAAAAGCGCAGTTCTAAAATATGAGTTGAAATCTGTATATTTTGTAATTATAATTTTTTTTAATCCATTTGTTTCATTTCTTGCTGCTGAGAGTGTATTGCCATGCACATTATGTGTCTCGAAAAATGTCTTTTGAAAATGTTTCTATTCGAAAGCAGAGGCAATGAATGCCTCAATGAGACATTGTCCCACCACATTTATTGAATAAACTCAGTTTTTCTGAACGGTTAGGGCCTGAACTAAATATTAAGAATAAAACCATTTTCATTCTGTCTCTCTAACCTATTCCAGTTTTTATTCTCACAACTTTTTTCATCTTCATTCTTGCGTATTCGATTCTGTAATGTCTAATTGTCCGCTTGGCACTTCAGCGCTGTGTTTTCGTTTGATGTGCTCTTTCAAGTGAAACTTATGCTCGTAGGCCGCCGGACAAAGGGGACATTTGACCGTTTTTGTGTCTTCCTTATGCCGCTTTTCATGAGCTCTGTTTGCAAAATTGGGAAAGAAAATTAACGAAAATCCGATCAAGTCATAAGAATCCAATTTTAATTGATTCATTGTGAAATTGCAATTACCTCAAGTATTTTTTATTTTTAAATTTCATATCACACTGTGAACAAGCGACCGATCGACCGGTGGTCATCTGAATTCAAAATAAAGATAAAAAAAAATGTTTCAATTTTACTATTTACAATTTGTTTCGTCGTTTAAATCGATGAAACTCACGTGTCTTTTAATATGTATATCCAAATATGGTTGACACTTGAACATCTTTGGGCATTTGGGACACTTTACTGGTCCTCCTTCAAAGTGAACAAATCTTTTATGGAGCTGTAAATTCCATTTTGCATTGTATTTTTTTCCACATAATTCACACAAGTGTTCCGACCTAGATTCCAACCGTACTTGTTTATGCTATATTGAAATCAACAAGAAATAAGTTGCATCGTCATTTTATCCGATCGATTTCTTTTTTCATGCGAATCCCAGATTAGCATTGCCTATCAATCGGTCTACTTACCACAATTTGAATATGTCTCCTTAACATTTTCAACGAACTGAAGGTTTTGTCGCAAAAAACACACGACATTTTGGCTTTACCCTTATGTAATGCCAAGTGTTCCTTATATGACGATTTGTCTTCTGATTTGTAATGGCAAATCCGACACATGAATTTGGGGTGTGTCTCATACCATCTCATATGAAGCTTCAAAATGAACAAAAATTCAAACAATTCAATTGGAAAGAAATCTATTTCTATATAAAAATTTACCCGCTTTAATTGCGCACTATTAAATCTCCTATCACACACTTCACACTGTGTGTTGTGTCGCTTTAAATGTAACTGAAATCCGAAAAAAAACATAAAAATTCGAAACAGAAAATATAAGACTTTGATTTTTAACTCACTTGATAGCCATGTGCAGAATAGGTTGCGCCATTCTGGCATATTTTACACTCGTGAATCAATTGTTTGTTTTGTTGATCGCTAACTGAGCTACTTTCAAGTCCTGTATTGTCTTTTACCAGAGAAATCGATCGCAGATCGCTAATTGCCTCAAGTTCTGCTATTTCATTGTCACCATTAAGAGTGGCCGTGTGTGTTTCCAATGGGATCGATGCTGGACCCTGCTCATTGTTCTGTTTAATTGACGGTTCATCTTGTGTCTGGCTCGAGACTACGATCTTGGGTGGAACTGCTTTTGCAAACTTCGGACCCAGAACATTTTTTCTGGTTTTTATTGGTGCCTGTGGCAGTGTTTGGCTTCCCTCCAAATCATTTGTTAGCAATTTTTTATCATTTGTTCTCATCGGCATGTGGTTCGTTGGCTCGCCATTTGTTGCTCTTTTCACAAGCTTCAATCTTAGCAATTTTCCACCTTTTTTAATGAACATCGTCTTGTCTGTGGACTGATGGCCCGGTTTTTGTACCACTTCTTTCCCTTTTTCCTGTGTTTCAGCTGTCGGAGTTGTAATTTCATGTGTGTTCAACACTTCATCCATCACAACATCATCTTCTTCAATCTGTTCGGGCTCTCTAGCCAAACCATGATTTTCCTCTACAAATACCGACTCGGTGTGACACACATCAACATCTTTCTCGACTTTAATCTCAAATCTGCGCTCACTCAAGCTCTTCTCAGTTGCCAAAAGCAGTTCAATTAGTTTCTTCTCCTGTTTCTCAGCTTCTACACATGCCCGATCATAAACTAAGACATTCTGCAAACATTCGAGACAAATGCAATTCGATTCGTCCTCCACATCTCGAGTTGTAGCAAAATCCCTCGTGAGCTGTTTAATGAAGTCACAAACCCGTTTTCCAGAATGGTTTGACTTGATCTCAGTCAAATTCAGTTGGTAAATTGTTGAATTTTTGTTGCAAACATAGCACGCTACCTCCATTGCTATAGAAATACCAAATGAGTCTTGACTGTCTCCAGTCTGTTCAATGTTTATCAATTTAATCGGAGTATCCAACAAACTATTTCGAATTCTTTACTAATTTATTTCACGGTTTTTACTTTTTCAGGTTTATTCTTAAGCAGCAACCAGGAAAAATATTTGTTCATGGTTTGACATTAGTGTCAGTTTAACTGTCACTTTTCGTGTCTAAAAATGTGACAGCTCAAAAATGAAAACATTTGACAAAAGGACAACTTCGTCTATTCAACTGATCCAAGCAGTGAAGAAAATTCTTTTTTATCTTGTTCCAAATGCATTTTTATTCAATATTGGCACAGAATGATGTTTATTTTCAATTGAAACACAATCTCTCAATACAATTTCTTTGATTGATTCTACAATTTTATTGAAAGTATACCAAAACTGGCCATGGCCATAAATTAAAGAACACCACTTCGGCATATAAACAATGCAATCAAGCACACAGTAAAATTCATTTAGCTGGATCCAGTATTGGCTCTAAGCTTCCATGAGGAATTTCAACGCCATGCTTCCGTTGCATATGTTGCTTTAGATAAAATTTGTGCTCGAACGCCGATTTACACAGCATGCACTTAATCGTTTTTGTATCTTCAGTGTGCCGTCTTTCGTGTCTCCTGTAATGGAATTACTCTATTACCACATTCAATCAGATTTCCTGGTTGACAATAAGAAAACTTACTGCATATGATCTTTGAGCTTAAACTTCATGTCACACACTGAACAAGCATATGGTCGAACTGTCTGCGTCTGAGGGAAAAATGAGAAATTTGGTAAGAATCTAGTAAAAATATTGAAAAAAAAACAACAACAAATAAAACAAGTTGTGTTCAACTGCGCAATACTTACGTGGATTCGAGTGTGTACTTTCAAAAGGTTTAACGTCTTAAATGCTTTTGGACAATATTTGCATTTTTCCGGACGACTATCGAAGTGTATCTTACCTGTAGGAGAAAGAAAATCACAAAAGAAAGAAATGAAATTAGTGAGGAACAATGACAAACAAAGTGATGAATGTGTCTATTGTATCTTACGGTGATCTTTTAAAATTTCTTCTCTCTGGAATTTCTTCCCACATAAATCGCACAAAAAAATCCGCTCTGCCTGAAATCGAATGAATTAAATTGGAAAATGAGAGAAAAAAATAGAAAAATCGAAAACTAATTTAGTATTGGAAACAGAATGCTTACGTGAACTTTCATATGAAATTTTAACATTCGGTTGTTTTTATAAACTTTCTCACAAATTACACATTGGCTGTTTGACGCAGCATTTTTGTGCAGCTCTGCATGTTTCTTGAATGACTCCTTGTCCTTATTTTTATGATGACAAACATGGCAAGTAAATTCAGGATAGCGTTCGTGCCACTTGAGATGACTCTATGGAAAAAAAAATTTAATCGGTTTATTCAAAAATAAAAAATAAAACATCTTTTTCAAAACAAAACACACTTAATTTTCCAATGAAAAATCGACACTTACCTTAAACTTGGAGATCCGGCCAAACGTTATGTCACAAGAATGACACCATTTATTATGTTTTAATTTGTGATACTTCAAATTTACGGCTTTTCGATAAATACCATCTTTACAGATATCACATTCGAGCTTTACTTCATATTTTCTGGGAAGCCGTGACATGGAATTCACCGGTTTTGCCTTCCGTTGTCTCATCCCTTCAATTTCTTTTACTATTTCAACCAATTTGGATGATGCAATTTTTGATACATTTGGAGCTGCTCCTGTGTCTTCCATAAAAATAGACTGATTTTCCAATGGTTCACTCTCTGAATCATTTTCCAATTCACCATTTTCTACGGCGTCGTATTCTACTTTTATGGTGTTTCCAATTTCTAAGTCGCTCACACTTGAGTCGTCTTCATTCACAATCACAATATTGTAAGTCCCTTCTTCTTGTGTCTCTTCTTCTTGTATTTCCTCATTTTGTGTCTCCTCATCTTCTGTCTTCTCATGTTGTATTTCTTCATCTGGTAACTCATCATCCGGCACTTTAACCAAAGAATGAATTCCATGCAAATGCGTTCTCTCTTTTCTCTCTTTTCCATTGCTGTTAACAAATAAGAATTCCGTCGTCAAGAATAAAATTCGCAACTCCTGTTCTTTCCTCCTGGCCGTTATGTTGATTCGATCATATTCGTTAAAAGCATCGAAGCACTCGACACAAATGCTATTCGAGCTGTCGTCAACATTTCGTCGATGTTGAACGTCACGAAGAAACCTTTTTAAAAGGCTACTTATCGTTGTCATCGAGTGTTTCAACCGTAATACGGATAGATTTTGAAGCCAAACATTCATCCTCTTATTGCAGATGTAGCACAGTTTGGCCATTTTTGTAAGCTAAATATTTTTATTCTATACTTTGTTACGTTAAGAAAATACCCGAAATTCGTCAATGATGAATTTTGTCACACCAGTTTTGTACCAATTTTTATTCAAGAAACAATTTAGTTTTTATATTAATACAAAATTACTTTATCACTTTTGAAAATTTATCGTTTCTATTCATTATTTTTGGTATTTTTCTTTTCTATTTGCAATTTTTACTTCGTTGAATAATTTTTCCAACTTATTTTTGTATCATTTTTTGTTTCTAAACAACAGTCGACCGTCAATTAGCATTTCGGCATTGAAAATAAAATGAAAATGACAGCTGTCATTCATTTGACACTTTTCTTCGGCGCGAAGTGTTGTTTTGTCAAATCACGAAACAATAACAAACCAAATAACTGAGGAAATGGAACACATGTTAATATACCCAAAGTAGAGACAGATGAATCGGTCTAAAGAATAACTAATACTGAAAACTGAATTGGATAATAACCAATATAATCAAGAAGACAATCAAGGAGGTGGATAATTTGAAATGAATTATCCACTAGAATTCCACTTATGATCCAATGATACACTTTCAATATTTGTCTGGATGAGAATAAATTTCTATTCAATATTGGATTTTTGGTGAATACTCATAAAGTAGCCAAAATGACCGTAATTTAGAGTCATTAACTTACTTTTGATATTACCAATGGGTAATAAAATAGACATATTTTTTTTTATTTCAAAATATCCGAGATTCAAATGACACTCATAGAACAAAAGAACAACTTATGAACTCTTTATCCATAGTTAGAGCAAAAAAGAGACAAATAAGTGTCTTCGGCATTATTGTAGAAAATAAAAAGAAATACAAATAAGCTCTATCTCTTTCCAGTAGCGAGAAAAATGCAAAAAACCTATTTTCCGCTCAATGCTGAGTTGTGTCACTTTTGTTCGTAACTTTATTTGTCTCTTTCTTGCTGTAAGTTTTGTTCTGCCTCAGCTATGGATAAAGAGTTCATAAGTTTTTCTTTCATTCAATGGGTGTCAAATGAATTACATTCTTAAATATCCTTGAATTTTCAACTGAATTCCATTCAGTTCCATTTCGTTCAATCCAGTCCCAATCCATTTTATGTGATTTCAAAGCGGCAGATATATTCAAAATGACCCAATTTAAACAAATAGACACATTTATTTTTTATTATTTCATCATTTGCTACAATTCTTAAAAAATCTAAATCGCCAAAATGTAGCATGCATCGAGACTTAACTCAACAATATATCAATTTATAAGTTGGAATAGGTCCAATTCTATTCAAGATAATAGTTGAAATTATTTTATTCATCGTATCAACACCATCTTACTAATTTTGGCGAATAAATTTTCTTAAATCCAAATCGTGTATTTTTCATCACGTAAAATTCACGCAATATATGCTTGACTCCGATGTTCAAGACATGTTTGAGCCTGTATTCATAATTGGTTTTCTTTAACGATATAGAAAAAATATAGAAATCTTGTTAGGACAGTTGAACTTGGATAATTCACACGAATGGTGAGTTTGTACTTCTTTCTTTAAAGAAAAATTGATTTTTGCAAGTAAAAGACACATTAAATTTTGATACAATGACAATGATTGCGACTTCAGTTTTTTTCTACCTACTTTTGGTATTGGTTGTGCATGTGTGCTTGTGCTTAAATTCCAAAAATGTACTTGCAAATATTTACACATATTTTTTCCTTGGTTCTTCCACGAAGGCGGAATAAGTAGTTTACAAAAGAAAAACAAGTTACAATTAAAATTACGATCTTATACAACGTTTATCACAGACAAGTGCTACTCAGTGCTTATATAAAAAATATTATCATTGATGATGTCACACATGATTTTTTCTTCATCGTTTTTCTCTTTTGTTATTTACGACTATAACACAACAACAAAACAATACTTTTACGCACGACATGGCGACGTGCGCAGAATTGAAACTAAGAATGTTGAATGTTGCAGCCTTCCATTGGTTTTAGGCACTAAACGGAATTCAAAAATGAATGAACATTATTTTTTTTTCAGCTAAAATAGTCATGAAATTGCATACAAAATGGTATTGTCTGTTTGACTGATACAATATTATTCGATATCCATGTGGATTTTGTCAGAAAAATACTTTTATTCGTTTTCTCTCAAGAGAACCGAGTAGAGCTCTACTTTTTCTCTTGGCCGGGCATAGTCCAAGGGACATTGTCCGCACTTTTTTGTTTCTTTGTAGTGCTATGGCCGCGATATCTGACTTTAGTAAATCCATCATCGTTTTCTGGGTCTTTGTTGGCGACAGCTTTTGCCTTCTTTTTCTGTTTATCATGCTTTTCATCTTTCTTTGATTGAACTGCATTGTCCGACTTTTTCTTTTCTACCTTTTCAGTCTTCTTCTCACTGTCGTCTACTCTGCTCATTTCCTCTTTCTTCTCGAAATCCGCGTTCCAAACAGTTGGAATGTATGGGTCAATTTCATGACTCTCAATTTTTTCCTCATATTCATTCTTTTCAATCGGCTTGACATATCCATCGCCACTGCCTCGGATGATTTCCACAAAATCATTCACCTTTGCATTATCATCAAACCACTTGACATTTTCGTTTGGTTCTGGCTTGACACCGTTTTGGTCGTTGTTGAAAAATCGATGAAAATTGTACGAGCCTTTTTTTGTTGCCCGCGTATAATTCGTATTTGAATTGCCGTCGCCACCGTTCATCGGTCCATAGTTTTGGGTCTTTTGAGCTGGTTTTCGATTCATTACAAAGTTTGGATAATTCATCGGCTTGTAATTGAATCGCTTGGGACTGTCACGCGACTTGGTGCCAGTGTCAAACGGCTTGAAGTCTTCGGTGTCTTCGTAGAAATAACGAGGTTTTGTAAACATGTAACAAGTTGATGGGTAATAACAGCCGAAAATCGGCTCGTTGCAGCATGACTGCAGTGCATGGTAGCTGTGTGACAATAGGCGCGGGAAACGATCGATCCAGTATTTCATGAATGAATTCGGAATTGCGCCCAACCGCATCTGCGTTTCCACTGATAACTCGTGATAGTGGTGTTTCTGCAAGGGGAAATTGAAGCACGTTAGTTTTGATCGAAAAAAAAATTGTTTATGGTCTTGATCAATCGATGTTGGTCAGAAATAAAATTTAAAAAATTGTTCAATAAAAATTGTTCCATAAAATTCATTGATAACCAAATTTTGAGTGCTTGCCAAGTCTCAATTTGCAACCGTGTTAACCAATTTAATGGCATTTAAAATAACAATAAATTCATACCTTATTCCGTAAGGCTCTTAACAAGTCACGAACACTGTTGCCCTGATATGCACGATATTTGCGAAGATCTGATGTGATCGACTCGTCCAAATGAAGATTCCAATCTTCTCTGGTTATGTATTTACTATTCTTCTCCAACGTCTTGAGTGGATCACTATAGAAATCAATCTTTTCGACGCGATCACTCACATCCTAGGAAAAGGAAAACACATTTTTAGTACTTTTTTGGACACACTTCAGATTTGATCACTTCAACTAAAATTTCATTTGTAAAAAAATTTTCGCTTGAAATTTGTTTGGAATTTTTGCTATTTTTTTCGTATTTGAAAAACAAGCCTCTATCTTTATTTTTTTGCTTTTTTTAAATATTTTTTTTCTCTTTTCAAATTTTTCGTTTTAAAGTTTTAATTTTTCCTTCTAATTTTTTAGTTTATTTTTAAATTCAATTTGTTCTATTTTTTTCTAGGGGTTTCATTCAAGGCTTGAGAAATGTGAATATTTGTGAATATTGTGGATATTTTTCTCATTGAATCATCGTCAAAATTTCGATTATATGTGAATGTTGTGAATTTTGTGAATATTTTGAATAAAATTTCCAAGATGGCGACGAATTCAAGATGGCGGCTGATGAGAACGCCTGAACTGTCAAATAAGAAAGACTGAATATCTGTGAATATGAGTGGATATTCTGAATTTAGCTCAAAACACACCGGAATTCATGAATTTTTGAATGATAAATTCC